CTCTCCTTCCTTCCTCTACCACCTCCTCTTCTACCAGTTTCTCTCTTATCTTGCTCAGATTTCAACCATGTCCATAGCTTAACTAAATAAGACATCAAACATGCAAAAATGTCCCCACAACAGTCTCTTCCAGAAACACGTTGGTGGCTTCAACAAAATCCCTCAACCCCAGCTAGCAGGAAAGGGCTTGTTTCTTTTATGAGATTGCATTGTAATTGTGACACCAAAGGAAATGACTAATCTTGGGGTCACTGGAACAAGAACGGAAGACAGGAAAGCGTTGCAACAATATGGGAAGAGGATGTGCAAACCACATGAAACATTCCTCTGTGGAAGATGAGTAAGAGTCAGTTTCATAGCATCCCTATTTTGGAATCTGGATTGTACTTTTGGGTTGTTTGCAGGCGTTTCATGGCTTGGGCCCAAAGGCAAACCGCCTCTCTTACTCTCTCTATTGTCTAAAGGGGGAAAGGAAATTAATTCTGCCACCGAGATCGAAACCTGGCAATGAAATTAAACCGCTCCTCACAGAAATCCAACCTAACCGTGTAATAGGATAGTGGCATGTGCTTGTTTGTGCGCTGGCCCCAAACACAATGCTTCTGGTCCCAAACTCAATGCATGAACAGCTGGCAAACTGGTTGGAGGATGAAGGAGAGGGAATGCAAAGGGAGGAAAGTGCATCACGCCCCCACGTTTCCCCTGCCATTGTTTCTTTTTCCTTTCCCAAAGTGAGTCAGGGAGTAACTATTTCCATTTTTAGTACTTATGCGAGTTACTCAGCCTGGAAAGGAAGGTCTGTTGATAAAAGAAGATATCTGTGCTGAGGATGAATTGGTAGAAAAGAACAGGAAAGTCATTTTTGTAGGAGGGATTTTATTGTCTCTGATCTGGGCAAAGAGAGCCAGGAGCCAGTGCTACATTCCTATGAACTCTAATAATAATAATAATAATAATAATGACAATCCTATCCTATCTGATTTGTGATCTATTTACTCCTTTGAGCATAATGCTTTGGGCGTTTCTTTTCCATTTCTGGCTGAATAGCTTAACCATTGGCTCGTCCCATCGTTGTGGTTTCTTGGTATCCAGTTAGTGAGTTGGCATGTCTACCAGTTGTCTTTTGTTCTTGCCAAATGCACTGCCCATCTTCTTTTTGTCCCATAGATTTCATTGATTACGTCCTGTACCCTGGTTCTTTGACTCGGTCAGCTCTTTATTGCAGACTTTATCGCTTATTAGCTTGAGTTTGCCGCCATTGCCCAGGTTATTTGAAAAAGTCAATTTTTCAATTCTACAAAATGCATGAGGTTGTGGGTGAACTACAACTCCCATCATGCTAGGTTAACCCTGAAAAACTCCAAACTTAAAGTTTGTTATGTTGGGCAAGTTTGCTCTGGATGCATCATTGGTGAGCTTCAGCGTGCTCTCTGGCTGCAGGGTAAACTACAATTCCCATTATGGTGAGTCAGTCCTCTACAGTAGGTTGAGTTACTCATGGAGGTTATGTGTGCCAAGTTTGGTCGAGGTCCATTACTGGTGGAAGTCACAGTTTCTCTGGTTGCGAGTGAACTACAATTCCCAGAAAGGGAAGTCAACCCCCCCCCCAAACCCCTCCAGTAACCAAATTTCGGCATATCAGTTATGTGTGCCAAGTGTGGTCCAGATCCATAGGTGTTTGGGTTCACAGTACTCTCTGGATGTAGGTGAACTACAACTTCCCCAAATCAAGGAGAATTTCCCCCAAAATCCTCAAATATTCTTCGCTGGTCATGGGGGCTCTGTGTGCCAAGTTTGGTCCAATTCCATCTTTGGTGGAGTCAGAGTGCTCTTAGATTGCAGGTGAACTATACATTCCAGTACCTACAACTCCAAAATCTCTAGGCCAATTTCCCTCAAAACCAACCAGTATTCCAATTTGGGCATATTGAGTATGCATGCCAAGTTTGGTCCAGATCCATCATTGTTTGAGTTCATAGTGGACACTGGATGTAGGTGAACTACAACTCCTATAAATCACTCCAAAGATCTCCAGTATGTTTTGTTGGTCATCGGGATTCTGTGTGCCAAGTGAGTTCCAGGTCCATTATTGGTGGAGTTCAGAGTGCTCTTAGATTGCAGGTGAACTATACATCCTAGTACCTACAACTCCTATAAATCATGGTGAATTCTCAGACCTCTCCAGTATGTTCAGTTGCTGATCAATTCCTCTTGCTGTGTGCAATAGGAATAGGTTAAGGGAGAGACAGTGGGTGGGGTCATGCAAATTCCACACCAATGGAGAAAGTCAGAAACACTGGGATGACTGTGGTGGAGGAAACATAGAAAATCTAGGAGGAAATTGTTCCCTTATGAAATCCTTCAGTTGGGTGGTGGGCAGTGTGGTGTTTGTGGAGGACATTGGCAGGGCTCTTGGACATGCTCACGGCGCTCACTATAACCTGCAATGTCATTGGAGGAAGGGCCATTGGTGTCTCCTGTGTTGTGGGAGCTATAGCTATTTTTGGAAGTTGCATCTTCTTCCCCCATTTGCCATCTGCCAAATTATTCACCCGTACTTGCTGTCCAAGATATACATATTCAGTCACTTTGTCAATTTCATATCTGTTTATAACAATGTGGCCCTGGACACACGGCTCGTTTTTCATCCATTTCATTTGCTTCAAGTTCATTTCCAAGCCTACCAATATTGAGAGTCGAGTGAGTTGTTGGAGATCATGCTGTAAATCTTCCGGATTTTTGGAGAAAGAGATGCCATTGTCTGTGGATGTCACGTGGTGGAATACCGGCTAAACAGTATAATTTCTCCATCAGTGTAGGGCGTAGACATCCTGTGATAATACGGCCTGTCTCATTAAGAGCTACATCTACTGTTTTGGCATGGTGAGATGTCTTTCACACTGGGCATGCGTTCTCAGCAGCAGAATAGTCAAGCACAAGGGCAGATGTCTTCACTGTATCTGGTTGTGATTCCTAGGTTGTGCCAGTCAGCTTTCAGATGATATTATTTCTTTTGTTGTTCATTCGTTCAGTCGTTTCCGACTCTTTGTGACTTCATGGACCAGCCCACGCCAGAGCTCCGTCGGCCGTCACCACCCCCAGCTCCTTTAGGGTCAATCCACTCACTTCAAGGATACCGTCCATCCATCTTGCCCTTGGTCGGCCCCTCTTCCTTTTTCCTTCCATTTTCCCCAGCATCATTGTCACTGTCATCTGTCACTCCTTCTCACCTGTCACTAAGGAGGCTGTCCAAACCTTGAACCGGTGCTTGGCTGCTGTGTCGGACTGGATGAGAGCGCACAAATTGAAATTGAATCCAGACAAGACAGAGGCCGAACAGGGCATAGGGTCACAGCCTGTGTTAGATGGGGTTACACTCCCCCTGAAGACACAGGTTCGCAGCTTGGGAGTGATCCTGGACTCATCGCTGAGCCTGGAACCCCAGGTCTCGGCGGTGGCCGGGAGAGCTTTTGCACAATTAAAACTTGTGCACCAGTTGCGCCCGTACCTTGGGAAGTCGGATCTGCCACAGTGGTCCACACTCTTGTTACATCCCGAATAGATTACTGCAACGCACTCTACGTGGGGTTGACTTTGAAAACTGTTCGGAAACTTCAATTAGTCCAGCGGGTGGCAGCCAGATTACTCACCGGAGCGTCATACAGGGAGCATACCACCCCTCTGTTATGTCAGCTCCACTGGCTGCCAATCCAGTTCCGAGCACAATTCAAAGTGCTGGTTTTGACCTACAAAACCCTATACGGCTCCGGTCCAGTGTATCTGTCCCAACGGATCTCCCTCTACATCCCGCCTCGGAGTTTAATATCTTCTGGGGAGGCCCTGCTCTCGGCTCCACTTCTATCACAAGTGAGATTGGTGGGGATGAGGAGCAGGGCCTTCTCAGTGGTGGCCCCTCACCTGTGGAACTCACTCCCAGGGGAAATCAGGGCATCATCATCCCTCCTCTCCTTCAGGAGGAAAGTGAAGACGTGGTTGTGGGACCAGGCCTTTGGGCAATCTGACAGCTAGATAAGACAATCAGACGAGTAAGACTGACAGGATTGACGAAGTGGAATTGAAAATTAGAACTATGAGATAGCGAACGCTGACCGTTTAGGAGGAGGAATTGGGTTTGTATTGGTTTTATTGATTTTATTGATTTTTATTGGTTGTAATGCAGGAATTGTTGTTTAACTGTGAATTGGATGTAATTTTTTTGTTTTGATTGTTATGTGTTGCGGGCATCGAATTGTGCCTTTGCTTTTGTAAGCCGCCCTGAGTCCCCTTCGGGGTGAGAAGGGCAGGGTAGAAGAAACCGAAATAAATAAATAAATAAATAAACGTCCTTGCAGACGGCCAATTCTCTCACACCAGAAGTGACTTGCAGTTTCTCAAGTCGCTCCTGACATGACAAAAAATTGTCTTCTCTAAGCTTTCCTTTCTTCTCATGATGTGGCCAAAGTATTTAATCTTGTCCTCTACTATTATTATTTCTAGCACCCACTTTTGTTTGCTGGAGGGTGCCTTCAGGCAACAGAGGCCAGGCTACCTCTACGTAGATACCCTCACTGATTTGACTTTGCAGCTTCAGAGCTACTCAATGCTATTCAAACTTGCTAATTGCAACATTCACACTTGCTTCAAAAAGACAAGGGTTCTTCATACATATGAAACATCTGAAAGCAGAACATTGAATAGGCTGCCACTTCCCAAAATGTTTTCTCTGGCTTCGATGCCCGCGCCCAATATGGCCGCCACCCGACGAGCTTACTCCCTGTTCGCATTGGCCGAGCTGAGAAGTATTACCTTGTCCACGATGACTTCACCTCCCGCTGTTGATATGGCGGGCGACGACCAATGGCGGCACGGGAAACGCAGCTCAGCCCGCCTCCGAGTCCAAAGCCAGGCCAAAGAGGGCGGGGCTCTTCTTCCCGCCCCCTTCGTCATGGCGACATCCGAGGCGGCCAATGGGATGCCAGGAGGTGTTCCCGACTGAGGGCGGGACAGGGTCCGGCCGCCATTTTGAAAGTCTATATAACACGTAGCCGTTGGGTCTGCTCCTGCTCGTCCGGCGCCTGCTCACCGCTTTTCCCTTCGGGTCGCCTTCGTGGGCCATGGACGGGTGAGTGCAACGGAGGCGGGAAGGGGAGACGCTAGGCCTCGGGGGCGCGGGGAGAAAGAGGCCATTTGTGAGGAGAAAGGCGTTTGTGAGAATGGCCTTCCGTGAGGGGAGAAAAGTTGAAGCGACTTTTCCTGAGGCACAAAATTTGGAGGGGGGGGAGGGGAGAGGACGGGGGAGGACTGGAGGGATAGGGAAGCTGCGCGCGCATCCACTTTCCCCACAACAACTCTTTCGCTTTTCTTCAGAAACTCTTTTCTGTCCTCCTTTCCTCCTCCTCCCCTTCCCCCTTCTCCCTTCCCCCTTCCCTTCCCCCTCCTTCCTTTCTCCCTCCTTCTTTCCCCTTCCTCTTCCTCCTTTTTTTATGGCCCCGCCCCTCTCCCCCCTCAAGAACCCGCCCCTTCGCTCCCCCTCGCGGAGATTGGCCCGCCGCTCCAGCCAGCCCCACCCCCTCTCGCTTCTCATTGGTTCGTTTGGCGCGCGCTCTCCCCTGCTTTTGTAGGTTTTTTTTTTTTTGGTGTGTCTAGTATTCTAACTGACGGAGCCCCTGGTGGCGCAGTGGGTTAAAGCCCTGTGCCGGCAGGACTGAAGACCGACAGGTCACAGGTTCGAATCCGGGGAGAGGCGGATGAGCTCCCTCTATCAGCTCCAGCTCCTCATGCGGGGACATGAGAGAAGCCTCCCACAAGGATGATAAAACATCAAAATCATCCGGGCGTCCCCTGGGCAACGTCCTTGTAGACGGCCAATTCTCTCACACCAGAAGCGACTTGTAGTTTCTCAGGTCGCTCCTGACACAACCCCCCCCCTCGCGCGCTCTGTTCTGAAAGGCGCCTTTGCGCGTGCGCGCTGTCTCTCTTGCTCACCACGTTTCACCCTCGGCACTTTCCTTCACGCGCATGCGCTTCTGCCCATCCCTCGCGAACGTTTGGAACGCCTCTCAACTTCTTCGCTGTTTCTCGAAAAAGTTCGGGCTCTCGAGGCGCATGCGCGCTGGCTCGTTTTCGGCTTCCTCTGCGGCAAGATGGAGGGAAGCCACGTTTCCAGGCATGTAGCCGGGGGGGGGGGGGGCTTGAGGGGCTTCAGCCCCCCCCCCCGAAATTCTCATGGTGGTTTGCGAAAAGGCCTTACTGGTGCATTATTTAAACTGTTATGTTTATTCATATTATGATCTGATCACCATACTCAATATATCCCATATGCATGGGGGTATTGGGGTAATGATACAAAAGGTTTGCTAGGGTAGACCCTCTTTCACTCAGACTCAGCCTCCCCCCCCCCCCCCCCGAATCGAAATCCTGGCTACGGGCCTGCACGTTTCGTATTGTGATTTTAGGAAATATTCCTAAAGATACCGGGAAAGAGCAGATCATGAAAGTGGCAGCCTGCAATCATTTATTTATTTAAAACTTTTATGTCCCTATCTTCTCTACCTCTGCAGAGGGACTCAGACTGGCTAACAGCAAAGATTCAGTGCTAACACTGAAAATCTAAAACATAACACACAACATTAAGTTACCAATTACATTGCATAAAATTACATAAAAGCCATTCGCCAGAATAAAATCGTGTCCAACTCAGTCCGTATGTCCGGTACATATATTGTGATCAGTACTCGATTGCCGGTCTCGGACAACATTCCGCAAAAGCTTTGTTGCACAGCCAGGTTTTCACTAGTTTCCTAAAGGTCCGAAGGGAGGGGGCAGATCTAATTTCATTTGGGAGGGAATTCCATAGCCGAGGCGTCCCCATCAGACGCGCCTGCGAAGATGGCAGGATCGCCTCTCCAGACGATCTTAACACTCTTGATGGTTCATGGGGAGAATACGTTCGGACAGGTAAACTGGGCCGGAATCGTATAGGGTTTTATAGGTTAAAACCAGCACTTTGAATTGAATTGTGCTCGGAAGCTAATTTGCACCCAGTGAAGCTGGCGCAACAAGGGAGTTGTATGCTCCCTGTACCCCGCCCCTGTTAGTAACCTGGCTGCCGAGTGTTGGATTAATTGCAGCTTCCAGGCAGTCTTCATAAGCAACCCCACGTAGAGAGCATTGCAATCGTCCATATGGGATGTAACCACAGCGTGGGCCACCGTGGCCAAGTCCGACTTCCCAAGGTACGGGCGCAGCTTTAACTGTGCAAAAGCTCTCCCAGCCACCGCTGAGACTTGGGGTTCCAGGCTCAGCGATGAGTCCAGGATCACTCCCAATCACTTAGAAAGGAATGCTGTGATCACTTAAAATCAGCATGGATTTCTCAAAAATCATGCCAGATTCATCTTATCTCTTTTTTCGATAGAGTTACAAGCTTGGTAGATGCAAGGAATGCTGTGGATGGAGCAGATCTTGATTTAGAGAAGGTCCCACATAACCTTATTGTAAGCAGACTAGTCCAATGTGGGCTAGGCAAGGCTACTGTTAGGTGGATCTGTCATTGGTTCAGTGACCGAACCCAAAAGGTTGCGTCTCCCCAATGGTTCCTCCTCTTCATCCTGGAAAGAAGTAACTATTTGGGTGCTATAACTGAGCTGGGCATGTTTAGCCTGAAGAAGAGAAGGCTGAGAGGGGGTATGATAGCCATGTATAAATTTGTGAGAGGAAGCCACAGGGAGGAGGGAGCAAGCTTGTTTTCTTCTTCCCTGGAGACTAGGACGCGGAACAATGACTTCAAACTACAAGAGAGGAGATTCCATCTGAACATGAGGAAGAACTTCCTGACTGTGAGAGCCGTTCAGCAGTGGAACTCTCTGCCCCGGAGTGTGGTGGAGGCTCCTTCTTTGGAAGCTTTTAAACAGAGGCTGGATGGCCATCTGTCAGGGGTGATTTGAATGCAATATTCCTGCTTCTTGGCAGGGGGTTGGACTGGATGGCCCATGAGGTCTCTTCCAACTCTTGGATTCTATGATTCTATGTCTGTGAGTCGCCTTCGGGCTGAGAACAGCGGTATAGAAGTAAAGTAAATAAATATATGTTCTGTTCTGTCCTGGACCCAGTTCAGTTCAACATCTTTATTAATGACTTCGATCAGTGGTTCTCAGTGGCTGGGATTTCTGGGAGTTGTAGGCCAAAACACCTGGGGACCCACAGGTTGAGAACCACTGACTTAGATTAAGGTTTAGAGGGCACGCTGATCAAGTTTGCAGGTGGGACCAAGTTCGGAGAGAGAGCTAATCTTCCAGAGTACAGGATCAGGATGCAAAATGACCATCACAGATGAGAGAGCTGATTGGCCAAAACTAACAAAATGAAGGTCAGCAGGAACAAATGGAAGATACTCCACTCAGGCAGAAAAAAAGGAAATGCCAAGATACAGGATGTGTGAGAAAGGACTTGGAGTCTTCATGAATAATAATAATAATAATTTATATTCTGTCCTATTTATTTTTTTATTTATTTCCTGCATTTCTATCCCATCATTTCTCAACCCCTGAAGGGGGACTCAGAACGGCTTACAATACGCCCCGTTTCGAGGCCTCTACATAACAATTACACAATTGAACATACATCATAATTAAACAGTACATAAGCAATCATTAACAACAGTAAAATAGTCTCGTCAGCCGTATCGTCGTTCCAGTCATGTCCCTCTAAGCTGCTGCTTACATCTATTGTCCAAAAGCCTGGTCCCAAAACCATGCCTTTAATTTCTTTCAGAAAGCCAGGAGAGAGGGAGTCGATCTTACCTCAGTTGGGAGCATGTTCCATAGGTGGGGAGCCACCACTGAGAAGGCCCTGTCCCTCGTCCCTGCCAGGCGCATTTGCGTGGTTGACGGGAGTGAGAGCAGGGCCTCCCCGGATAATCTTAGATTACGAGGTGGGACGTAGGGGTGGATGCGTTCGGACAATTAAGGTGGGCCAGAACTATCTCCTTGGAGGAATTCAGGGCGGATTCCAAACATAAAAGACAAACATTCAATGCCCGAACACAACAATACATCCATAGTAATGAAATTTGGATGGTAACTATTGACCAGAGGTATAATGGTAGTTTTGCCAACTACTCTTCCTCCTCCTGTAAGCCAGTGAGCAAAGGTACATCTTCAGCTGTTTCTTGAAAGCGGGGAAGGAGGAGGGCCATCTTTAACTTCTTAGGAAGGGAGTTTCAGAGGTGTGGGGGGGGGGGTCATAGAGAAGGCCCTTTCTCTCGATCCCACCAGCCATGCTTGTGCATGCAGCCTCCTCTAATGACCACAGTTATCAAGTTGGTCTATAGTGGGAGATGCGTTCATCAAATAATCTGGACCTGAGCCATTTAGGGCTTTAAAGGTAAGAAAAAGACAAGCTGAACATGAGCCAAGAGCGTGATACAACAGCTCAAAAAGCCAATGGAATGTTGGCTTGCATAAACAGAAGTATAGTGTCTAGATCCAGGGAAGTCATGCTACCCCTCTATTCTGACTTGGACAGACCACACCTGGAATCACACCTGTCTAATTCTGGGCACCGCAGTTGAAGGGAGATGTTGACTCTAAGCTGAAATGTGTCCTGAGGAGGGCGACTCTTAAGGATCCAAGGGTCTGGAGAACAAGCCCTATGAGGAATGTCTTAAAGAGCTGGACATGTTTAGCATGCAGAAGAGAAGTCTGAGAGGAGACAAGATGAGGGTCATATATACAGATGTGAGGGAAAGTCACAGGGAGGAGGGAGCAAGCCTCTTTTCTGCTGCCCCGGAGACTAGGATGCAATGGAACAATGGCTTCAAACTACGGGAAAGAAGTGAGATTCTACCTGAACATGAGGAAGAACTTTCTGACTGTGAGAGAGCTGTTCAACAGTGGAACACTCTCTCTGCCCTGGAGTGTCGTGGAGGCTTTTAAGCAGAGTCTGGATGGCCATCTATCGAGGGTGCTTTGAATGTGATTTTCCTACTTGGCAGAATGGGGTTGGACTGCATGGCCCATGAAATCACTCCCAACTCTAGGATTCTATCAAAAGAAGTATAGTGCCCAGGTTGAGGAAAGTAAGGTCCCTCTATTTGGCTTTGTTGGACCTCTTTACCTGGGATACTGTGTCCAGTTCTGGGCACCACAGTTCAAAGGGTATATTGACAAGCTGGAAGGTGTCCAGAGGAGGACAACTAAAATGATGAAAGATCTAGAGACCATGAATCCCTATGAGGAGTGTCTTAAAGAACTGGGTCTTTTTAACCTGCAGAAGAGAAGGGTGAGAGGAGACATGAGAACCATGTATCAATATGTGATATGGTGTCATAAGGAAGAGGGAGCAGGCTTGTTTTCTGCCTCCCTTGAAAGTAGGAGCAATGGGTTCAAATTACAGGAAAGAAGATTCCACCTGACCATTAGGAAGAATTTCCTGACCATACGAGCTGTTCAGCAGTGGAACTCTCTGCCTCGGAGACTGGTAGACACTCCTTCCTTGGAAGCTTTTAAACAGGCTGGATGACCATCTGTCAGGGGTGATTTGATTGTGCTTTTTTCCTGCATGACAGAAAGGGGTTGGACTAGATGGCCCATGAGGTCTCTTCCACCTCCCTGAAACATCTTGATGTTGTCTTCCAACCCTATGATTCTAGGCATCGATCTCTTTCTTATTAGGGCATTGAGGAGACTTCGGAGCTCTGCAGCAAGATGGAGACCCTTTAAAAAATAATGGAACTTACATAGCACATGAATCTCTCTTATGACATGGCTTTGGGCACCCTTCTGATCTGTAACCAATTTCCATGGAAATTACTTCTCTCTTTGTATTTTACTCCACCTGGTTCTCATACTGGCTTTTCCCATTGTTTTGGGAATCCTTGCCCCATCCTTGAAACACTTTGCTGGTTTGCTGTTTTAGATTCCTGACATGCTTTCCATGGCTATTTATTGGCTTTGTTGCTCCTATAAACACATGTAAGTATATGCAAGTATATACAATTTACAGGCAACCCTTTACATTCCTTGTCACAGCTTGGCCTGGGATCGTGGCCTTGTTTCCAAAGTCAGATTGAAGCAGAGAAACTGTTCCCCTTTCCAGGTTTGCCCCATCTTTACACCAGGAGAAAGGTCATTTCCTCAGGCTGGATCCACCTTCGAAGTACATTTGCCTGTCCTTCAAATCCTCATTTGTCATTCTCTACACCGTCGTCACATTTTTCGGCATCCCTTTCTCTCAGCACAGCACAGTTCCCTTTTTGCAGCATTATGGAATTTATTGTACATATTTATTGGGTTGCTGTGAGTTTTTGGGCTGTATGGCCATGTTCCAGCAGCATTCTCTCCTGACATTTTGCCTGCTTCTGTGGCAAGCATCCTCGGAGGTTGTGAGGTTTTATTACGAAACACCAAACTGAGCCTTTCAGAAAGGCATAGCTGTGAGGATCCTGCTTGTTCTGCCAACTCAGCACTATCTTTAATTCTTTGCCTGAGACTGGGTAGACTTTCACCTGCTAGCAGTGCAGGGTGGAGGCTTGTTTCCTGATTTTCTTTTTAATGGTGGCTCTGCCCTTTTTTAAACAGTTTTCTATGGAAAGCTAACCTTGAGGATGGAAATTCACAGAATCCTAGAGTTGGAAGAGGCCCCCAAAGACCATCCAGTCCAGCCCCCTTCTGCCAAGCAGGAAGAGCACAGTCAGCCCCCCACCCACCCAGAAACAGATGGCCATCCAGCCTCTGATTAAAAATCTCCAAGGAAGGGGCTTGCACCAGACTCAGAGGCAGAGAGTTCCACTGCTGAACAGCTCGTACGGTCAGGAAGTGCTTCCTAATGTTCAATGGAATTTCTTTTGTTGTAATTGAAACTCATGGCTCCATTGAGTCCTAGTCTCCAGGGCAGCAGAAAACAAGCCTGCTCCCCTTCCTTATGGCCTCCTTTCACATATTTATATGTGGCCATCATGTCTCATCGTAGAAGGCAGTGGTCGGAGGTTGGGGGCAACGGTAGGAAACTGATGGGAGGCTGTATTTACATTCAGCACCAGGTACTTTGTCTTCTGTGTCAAAAGTCTACCTTATATAATTTTATATCATGGCTGTCGGCAGTCTTAATGGTTCTGTTGCTCCCTGTCACAATTCTCATTTTTCTTGCATTTGATGAAAGGACAGTCTCTTGAATATCTGGACACCAAGCAAAATACAGCATCCCCGACATACAAAGGTCTAACTTACTCCTAGTTCAGAATGTGTCTGACTTACAAATGATTCCTAGTTCAGAACACGCCTGACTTAAAAATTACTCCTACTTAGAACACGTCTGACTTAAAAAATACTCCTAGTTTGGAACAGGGATGAGACAACAGGAAATGAGATAAATCTGCCTCTTGGAAGGCAAATGCAGTCCTGGAAGAGTTATCATGGGGGAAAGTGGTCTCCAACTGAAGCTTTATCCCCAATCCTTGTTTCTATCAAGCCAAGTGTTTCAAAATCTACTTCTCACGGGGACAGAAAGTGATTGGAAATACTCTGAACAGGGGCACAGACAGCAAAAGAAACCACAAGGTGTGTTCAGCCTTCCCAATACTACCCAGAGCTAAATACTAAAATGTTACTCTTCCGACTACTGGAAGAAAATATGGCAGGGGAAATGGGAACATTATTGGAGGAGGTATTCACAATTGCCTTATGCGTTCATTTTGAATGGAACTGGGTCAAAAAGGAAAGAGTTGTGACTTGGGAACGCTTCGGGCCCTGTTCAGAGGTGAAATAAGAACTTTTTTGTGTTAGGAGTGACTTAAGAAACTGCAAGTCACTACTGGTACAGATGGGAGCTCACCCTGTCCCCGAATTCGAACCACCAACCTTTTGGTCAGCAGTCCTGCTGTCACAAGGATTTAACCCATTGTTATTTGGTAATGGGTTCTGATAACACAGAGAATTGTTGGATTGGCAAGCCTGGTATACTGGGAGAGTTTCTTTTATTTGCCTTTCCATGAAGAGTGTGTACTTGCTGGGATACAAAGCTGTGAACGTTATCTAAACTTCATAATGGCAGTTTTTACTGTCATAGTAATCTGCCAGTGAGTGTTGTAAACAGTGGGAATTGCTTGCAAATAGCTTATCTTGCCCTCATAAGTTTTGAGGCTCTTAAGAACCTAGGTATAACTGTTTATTTCAAACAGTTGTCTGGGTAACATTTTCATATAACAAATAGTTATGTCCTTCCTGTAACAGGTTTCTCTTGTGAGCCTTGGAAAAATGGAGTAGGAGTAACAGTTTGCAGTTCACTTTTGAGACCGTCTGTTTGGGAATTTTTCTCCTGGCTGATTTGACTTTATTCAGATTACTAGCATTTTAAATTCTTTATGCTTCCCAAATAGAATTTGGGCAAAAGAGGAGGAGCTGGGTGTCTGATTGGTTCAGTTTGGCTCCTGATGCCCAGATGGTTTTTATTATCCCACTCCAAATCTGTATTCAAGCTCTCCACAAAGCACATCTGTCTTAGCTGGCAATTCTAGACACTTGAGTCATTAAAACAAACCCAGAACTGCCTTGCCGCCCTGGGCATTTTTAGTGATGGTTTGCCGCAGCGCAGCCTTTCTTTTATCGAGTGTAGCATCAATTGCGAATGGCTAAGATTATGAGAGGGCAGAAGTTGATTCAGGAAAGGAACAAGTAGTAGTGTGTCACAAACACTGACTCAAGTGAACATGATTTTTAAAAGGGTGTGTTTTAACCATGATTGGCTACATATCCTAGATTTTCTCATAGCCCTGGATGAGGTATGGGTCTATGGAGAGGGACCCTCTAGATGTGCCACGGCCATTCCCCTCACCGCAACACAAAGAAGAGTAATGTGTAGTCTTATTGTCATTTGGAGAGGCTTACGTTCCTCATTCCTGATTCATTTGGTCTCACTGTACTGCAAAGAACATGTATGATTGGGTTGCTGTGAGTTTTCCGGACTGTATAGCCATGTTCCAGAAGCATTCTCTTCAGCCGTTTCCCCTACATCTATGGCAGGCAGAGGTTGTGAGGTCAGTTGGGAACTAGGCAAGTGATGTTTATATCTCTCTGTAAATGTCCAAGATGGGAGAAAGAACTCTTGTCTGTTGGAGGCAAGTGTGAATGTTGCCATTAGCCACCTTGATTATCATTAAATGGCCTTGCAGCGTCAAAGCCTGACTGCTTCCTGCCTGGAGGCATCTTTTGTCAGGAGGAGTTAGCTGGCCCTGATTGTTTCTTCTTTGGAACACCTCTCAACAAAGGATGCCTCTAGGCAGGAAACAGCCAGGCTTTGAAGCTGCAAGGGCATTTAATGCTAATCAAGGTGGCCAGTGGCAACATTCACACTTGCCTCCAATGGACAAGAGTTGTTTCTCCAGTCTGGGACATTCTGGGTTGTTTCCAACAGACCTCACAACCCCTGAGGTTTCCTGCCATAGATGTGGGTGAAATGTCAGGAGAGAATGCTTCTGGAACATGGCCATACAACCTGGAAAACTCACAGCAACCCAGTGATTCTGGCCATAAAAGTCTTTGGCAACACCTTGAGCATGTATGAGAGAGAGGGGGAGAAACAATGAAGGATAGTTTCTTGATGCTCTGATTGAGCTGATGCTCTGGTGGCTGCTGTGCCCACCCAGACTAAACTGAAGCTCATTTGTAGAAGTAGTATATCAGCATCGCAGACCTGCCCTTTAACATGGAAATCTCTGAAATCCAGTTGTGTCACATTCCCGGCAAGCTTGGTTATGCAAGAGACGCTGTCTCCTCTGTACAGTGTTCCTAAAAACCTCAACTCCTTGATGTCCCTTTGAAGCCTAGGAGTTCTTTTACTTGCTGCAAGTTGACTGTATTTTCCTTTTTATTATATCTGTTCTCAGTGCACCTTCCAACCATCTAACTTTACCTTCTCTCCTTCTCTTACAGCATTGTCCAAGATATAACAGTTGGTACAAAGGTAGGCATTTCTCTTCCTTGCTTTGGTTGTCTTCTGCAAATCATGCCCTGCATGCCATTGCCATTCTCCCCAGATCAAGCTGTTTTGTAGCAATGTCTCATTCAGTTACATGGGGTGCTCCTATCCTTCCCCCACAAACTTGAAGCTCCAATGAATGATCTGTCTCCAGGGGTGTCTATTCAGTGCATGCAAAGAAATGCTGAAACCCCCCTGCCCCAAAGGAATGTTCTGTGCTTTTGAAAAGATACTTCTAGAAAGTTTCTCAGTTATGAAAGAGGTTTCTTTGAAGCCTGAGAAGCAACTGCTAGATGGGGCCAAGGGTGTACCTAAGACATTTGTGTCAAAATAATGGATCCCCATTTTAAGCTTTCCTGGAAATGTGTTAATATAACTTCCTGGGCATTTGTTTTTTTCCTGATTAGAAGCGGCCAAGTGTCTTGGGGTGAATGGAAATTCAATTGTTCATCCTACTGGATTGGCTCTGAAAATGGAGGCAAAGATGTTGCTGAAGTACTCCTTTGGATCTTGACCAGAGTTTGACAATACAAATCATATCTGCATGGACAGGATGCATTTGGGGTTGGATCTACAATGCCATACAATCCAGTTTCTGAATCTAGATCAGCGTTTCTCAACCTTGGAGTTGGGACCCCTTGGAGGGTTACCAAACACCATCAGAAAACACATTTCTAATGGTCTTAGGAACCCCTTTGGCAGAGAAGGCTTGAAGATCTCTGCCTGTCCTCTCTCTTTTTGGAAACAGACTCCGAATCCTCCCACCAAAAGCCACCTCTGCTGTGATTGGCTGGCCTCTCAACCAAGGGGAGAGATGTTTCTGAGACTCCAAATGGGGAGGGGAGAGGAGAGCAGGCGTGCTTGGTGCATGGCAGCATGTGTAGATGAGGGAGAGCGCGCGAGGCGGGAAGGAGGCTCATGCCAGTGAGTTCCTTCAAGACAGGGGGGTTCTGTGTGGGAAGTTTGGCCCAATTCTCTTGTTGGTGGGGTTCAGAATGCTCTTTGGTTGTAGGTTAACTATAAATCCCAGCAACTACAACTCCATAATGTCAAGGTCTATTTTCCCCAAACTCCACCAGTGTTCACATTTGGGCATATTGAGCATTTGTGCCAAATTTGGTCCGGATCCATCATTGTTTGAATCTACAGTGCTCTCTGGATGTAGGTGAACTACAACTCCAATACTCAAGGTCAATGCCCAGCAAACTCTTCCAGTATTTTCTGTTGGTCATGGGAGTTCTGTGTGCCAAGTTGGGTTCAACTCCGTCATTGGCAGAGTCCAGAATGCCTCTCTGATTGTAGGTGAACTATAAATCCCAGCAACTCCCAAATGACAAAATCCCCCCAATCCCACCAGTATTCAAACTTGGTTCAGTGAATATATATCCTGCATATCAGATGTTTACATTATGCTTCGTAACAGTAGCAAAATTACAGTTATGAAGTAGCAACAAAAACAGTTTCATGGCTGCGGGTCACCACAACATGAGGAATGGTATTAGGAAGGTTGAGAAACACTGATCTAAATTATCTGCTTTGAACTGGATTATGTGACTGTCATATAGTCTAGTTCAAAGCAGATCATCTGGATTCAGAAACTGGATTATATGGCAGTGTAGATGGGGCCTTACTTTAAACTTTAGCCCACTTGGTAGCATATCGCTGCCTTCTCCTACTTTCTTATCAACAGTAACATTTTATAACGGTCTAAAGGCCCTTATTCACTCACTTGTTTTTGTTTGTAGCTCAGGAGAAAGATCCTTAAGGAAAATATCTAAAAGGGAAAAGTTTTGACTTTTAAGATGCAAGGAAAAGGGGAAAGGAACAAAGTGGGGAAGAAAGTTTCGTTGGGGATGAGTTTGAGGTGGGTCCTGACGATAGGCTTCCCGAGGGCTAACAGAATCCAAAACACCTGGCTGTCCGTTCTCAAATGTGTCTTCAGTTCCCACCGAGAAAGAAGACGAGTAGGAACAAAGAACATGGAGAAGACGGCTGCTCCGCAAACCTGAAAATGGCCCTCCCTGTTTGAAAGCAGTGTGTCTCATTGTAGTCTGCTTGCGGATCTTGTTTGAGGAGAGCTATTTGCTCCGCTCGGCTGGGTTCGGCCTGGGTTTTGTCCGTGGGCCAAGCTCTTTGCCATGGGAACGGCCATGGCTGCTCCTGGCCCCAAGCCAGGAATGCGAGCGGAGGCATTCCAAGGCGGCAAGGAGAAAACGGCTCTCGCTTGGAGGACCTGCCCAAACAGGCTGGAGTTCTGTCTGTGCGCCACATTTGCGGAGACAGAGGCAGGAGGGAAATGGGGAAAACATGCAGAGTATGTGACCAGTGCGGCCTTAAGTACAAGGAAAACCTGGTCTCTTCCCTGTAAAATAGACTTCTCTTGATTTTGGAATGGGTGTGTAGCAGAATTGGAGAAAATGTGTCTTATAGTCAGTTCTGTCTGTGCCAGGAGTGATCCTCCTCCAGTTTCAAAACCGAACCTTCCTAAATACTGTTATTTCCTCCAAAATAAGGCCAGGTCTTATAATGTTTGCTCCACAATATGTATTGAGGCTTATATTCAGGGGATATCTTATTCCCCCATATACAGCAACCTATATTTTGTCACAATCAAAAACCTGTACATTGGTTCATGACCCAAAATCTCGTATCCAAAGGTGCCCATTTTGAGTATTTAGAAATATTTAATTCATTTATATTCCCGTTTTTTACATATCAAATGTTGATAATATTTGTATTGTTATATAGCAATATTTTATAATTCAATGCATCTGTCATGTGTTGCAATGGACATACTCAATGCATCCGTCTGACTGACAATCTGAACTACGTCTTATTTTTAGGATGGGGCTTATATTACGAGAATCCTGGAGAATCATGCGAGATAGGGCTTATTTTCCAGTTAGGGCTTATTTTTGGGGAAAGTATTAAACCCCTTTCTGTCAAACATATTTTTGGTCTTCAGAGAGAGCAAAGAGTTTGAGTGATTGTCTTCTGGTTACCCGTCTCTCCGCTTTGTATCATATGCATCACATGTAAGAAGATACACAGACACACATAATAAAAGTGAAAATGTGAATGTGTGTGGCTGGGATGTCTACTTACACAGACAGGCTCCTGCCTCACAAACAGTTATAGTTCCCACCATTCAAGAGACACCAAAGACCCTCCTTCCAGTGACATTGCAAGTTATAGTGAGCACCATGAATATGTTCAAGAGCCCTGCCAATGTCCTCCACAAAGGCCATCCTGCCCACCACCCAAGTGAAGGCTTTCATACAGGGACCATTCCCAGATTTTATGTTTTTCCTCCACAACTTAAATCTCAGTGTTTTTTACTCTCTCCATTGGTGTGGGATTTGCATGACCTTGCCCAGTGCCTCTCCCTTAACCCTTTCCTCTTCTTTTCTATGGCACACAGCAAACAGGAATGTATCAGCAATGGAACATACTAGAGAGGTTTGTGGAGAATTCACCATTATTTATAGGAGTTGTAGGTACTGGGATGTATAGTTCACCTGCAATCTAAGAACTGCACTCTGAACTCCACCAACAGTGCACATGGAACCCCCATGACCAACAAAAAATACTGGATATCTTTGGAGGGATGTCTAGGAGTTATAGTTTACCTATATCCAGAGCGCACTATAAACCCAAGCAATGATGTATCTTTACCAAACTTGGCATGCATTCCCAGTTTGCCCAAATTTGAATACTGGTGGGTTTTGAGGGGAATTGGCCTGGACATTTTGGAGTTGTGGGTACTGGGATTTATAGTTCACATGCAATCAGTGAGCACTCTGAACTCCACCAAAGATGGACCTGGACCAAACTTAGCACACAGAGCTCCCATCACCAGCAATAAATAAATAAATATTGGAGGGCTTTGGGTAAAATTCACCTTGATTTGGGGGGAGTTGTAGTTCCCCCTACATCCAGAGAGCACTGTGAACCCAAATACCGATGCATCTGAAGTAAACTTGCACACAGACCTGATGTGCTGAAATTTGATTGCTGAAGGGGTTTGAGGGAACTGATCGACCTTTCTGGGAGTTGTAGTTCACCCAGAACCGGAGAAACTGATCTCCACTGATGATGGACCTGGACCAAACTTAGCATGCAGAACCCCCATGACTAACCCAACTTTCTGGAGGGGTTTGAGGGGACTGACTCACCATAGTGGGAGTTGTAGTTTACGCCACAGCCAGAGAGCACATTGAACCCCACCGATGATGCATCTAGAGCAAACTTGCCCAACATAACAAACTTTCAGTACTGATGGAGATTCTCAGGGTTAACCTGGCATGATGTGAGTTGTAGTTCACCCATAATCTTATGCATTTTGTACAATTAAAAATTGACTTTTTCAAATAACCCATGTAGTGAAAAATGGGAAGGAAAGCTCATTCTAATATTCCATCATTGGCTGGATTTCTAGATGTACCCTGAGTTTTTAAAATAAAATGATTGCTGCAGATTGCCTCTGAAGGGTTAGTTTGGTTTCACACAGGAAATAGAAACCGCTCCAGGCCCATTTTGGGTATTAAAAAAAGCCAGGGAATCAACTTCAAACCGAAACAGGCTTGATTTACTCCAGTTGAGAGAGAGGTTGCTTTCTACTTGGAATGTTGTTTGCATTTCGGTCTTTCCTGTTTGGAACTTGTATCAGTTTGTTTCCGTTGGTTGTGTCAAATGTCATAAATCCCTTCAAGACAGAAGTATCTTGAGTTGTGGGGCAGTGTAATCTGGATGTGCAATACGAATATTTTATCTGCTGATTAAATCTGTTCCAGGCTAAAAATATGGAGATGAGTTAGATACATCATTAGATCAAGTGCAAAACAGCATGATTTTAACTGATTTTTGCCAAAACGTTGAAGTAGCATAGATCTAAGACTACGTGTTCAGCAATTTTGCCTTTCCTATCTATAGCCATATTTTCTGGAGTAGGAGGCCATTCTCCCAGTGCAGACTTTATTGCATGT